GGCCTTGGATTGATGGCTCTAAATTGTGTTAAATGGATCCCTTGTGCGTTAATTGCGGAAAATTTCAGCTTGTGCGGAAAATTTTAGTGTTAGGGTTCCAATTTGCCCTGTTCTGTCCGATTCTATTTCACCATGTTAGAAGCCGAATCAGGCTTAGGTTAAAACATAAAAGTTGTAGCAAATGGTGTTAAATAGCTGCCTACAAAATTTCACCCCAATCGGAGTACTGTATCATGTGAAATGACCAAAATACCCTTGACTGTCCATGAACCCTGTTTTGCGGACAGATTTCTGTTTTTGTGGAGTTTTCCATTTTTGACCATGAAAATGCATGATTTGGCTTTGGAGGTCTTCATAAGAAATGTAGGTATATGTCTTGGCTTCGAAACACCATAAGATATACCTCAATCGGACTTCGGTAGCCTGAGTTATTGTCATTCAATCATAGTGTGGTTAACTAGTCTGATTGTGAGATTTTGGTTCTGTAATTTGAAAATTTGACCTAGATACACTATGAACTGAATTGAGTGGTCTTCATCAAAGTTGTAACTCTGTGTCTTAGGTTCGAAACGGTATAAATTGCACCCCAATCTGATAAGCATAGCTTCGGTTGTGACCAATACGCTAAGAGACATCAAACCTGCTATTTAGCTTTTGTCCTTAAAACTTGATTTTCAGTTGCATTCCTAGACTTGCTTTGTATTTAGATGAACTTGAGCCTAGTTGAAGGGCTATTGTATTGAGATTTCTTATGTGTTGGATTGGATTGAGTTGAGGAAAAATAATAAAGCCATAAATGGTTGGAATATAACAAAATACAGAGGGCATGCTGCCCAAAATTTTAGGGCTACGCGATTCTTTCAAGTTGAGTTGATCTTAATAAAAATGAAGGGTTTTGGGGGTTGTTTGTAACCCTAGGACCAACTGTTATCTTTTTGCTCAAAAGTCATATTTTATTCTTTTGTACTAGTACTTAACCTGAAAAGGCGTACGACATGTAGTCGAGCCTCACTTGTGCATTCTGTTTACTCGATTTTGAATGTGAAACATTCAATTGTTTTATTTTGGAGATTTTAGGGTTTCTTGGCGATTAAAGCCAGTTTGAAGTGAAAACTTTCGAAGTATCTGTATTTGAACCGGTGAGTGTACCACTCCCCTGAATTATTGCTAAACTGGTTATCTGTACTTGCAAATTGCTATTTGAATGTATTTCCTGACTGTTTATTTTGTACGAGACAAGTGTGTACTTTATCACATTCACTCTCTGGCCTGTGTGACTTGTTTCCTGTATATACTTGAATCTGTTACCTGTGCCTGTTATAATGTCGTTTGGAAGTGCATCCAACGACCTTCCTGTTAAATCTGAGCTCAACCTCATGGGGAGTTGATTGAATCGAGCCAGCAAGGGCTTGGTCGAGGAAATTGACAATCCATAGGTGCCTGTTCCTGGGGAATCTATGGGTATTGGAGACTCTGGATTTCTGGTATACTCGAGTATTACCATTCCTGTTCCTGTTTGGCGTTCGGGCCCGATAAGGGGGTATGTTTGGTGAATGGGATTTTGGCGTTAAAATGGTGTTCTACTGGACTGGTTCATTTATTTGAACGTTGACGGAGGGTCAACGAGGCTGGATCAAGTATGGCAATGGGGATTTGGCTCCTGAGCTACATGTATCCTTTACATTGTGGTGTTCATTCATTTCTCGTATTTGATGTGAATAAGTGTCTTAAAAGTGATTTCTCATGATTTCTACTGTTTATATTTTTGGTACCTCATTGAGCTTCTAACTCACCCCGTTCCATTATCCTTATTTTCCTTATAGGGAACCATCTTTTGGACTAATGATCATTTTGAAGAATGAGTTGAGCTTGTATAAATACCTTTTTGCATAGCTCCTTGGAAGTTGGAAAACCTTAAATGTACCTTGATCCAAATATTTCCCTTTTGATTTGTAAATTTGAAACGTATGTGTATAAAACTGTTTAACCATGTTCATTTATCCTATTTGGTTTGGAAATGTTTTCTCCTGAGTTATATAACGTTATCTGTATTCAATTGGATTTTGGCTGGATGGTGACGTGGCAGTCACTATTCATTTGCGGTTCCAATTTTTTTTTCATTTTTTTCGTTTTCGTTTTGCGATTTTGAATCGTGTAAGCGCGCTATTTTCCTTCGGAAGGTCTTAGATTGTGTATAACTATCTTAGTAGTCCTGGCGAGAGTTGGGTAGGCAGTCCGCTAACCTCTTTGGTACGCCTTAGGGGACGGTGGGGCTGTCACACCTTCATCAATTACTTCAGAAATTCTTTGTGTCTCAAATACTAAAGCTGCATATCTTTCCGGGTCGTAAGGACCAGTTGGCATGGATGGCTTCTTCCATGGGGGAGTTTTCAGTTTCCACAACTTGGGAGTAGGTTCGATTGAAAAGGAATTTGTTGGTGGTTGACTCTTTCATATGAAGTCCGGTGGTTCCACTAATTTTTTTTTTTTTTTTTGCATAGAGGTTACTGAGATGATGGCTTCCATTGGATGTTCACCTATAGCAGAAGGGGCTGATGTTAGCATCTAGATGCTGTTGCTGTGAGAGCTCAGTGGAAACCAGTAACCACCTTTTTATTGTAGGGCCAATAGCATTGGCGGTGTGGAGTTACTTCACTAATTTGGTTGGAGTTTCGGATTAGGCAAGTGGAGTTATGGAGAAACTTGCATTGTGGTTTTTCTCTCATTGTTTCGTGTCATGGAATCATATTTGTGTTCTTGTTCCTCTTTTGATTCTGTGGTTTACTTGGAGGTCTCGAAACCAAGCCTGCTTTGAAGGTTTGACAATGTCGTTTGAACGTATAGTTTTTCAGGTATGTGCTTTTATTGATCAGCTGAGGGTTAGGCGGTCTGTTAAAGCCACATTTCTTCATAGGAGACGCAGATTGTATTTGGGCTAAGAGTGTTAAGCCTAAAAGGAGAGTGGTTAAGTCACGCATCGTTGCTTGGGTAAAACCTCAAGGCTGCTCAATCAAGTTGAATACGGATGCCAATATCTCCGCTAGTGGCGCTTTTGGAGGTGGCATTGTTCATACGGGGAGGGGAATTTGGTGTTTGCATTCTACAAGGAATCTGGGGAGCAAAATGTCATCACAACAGAGGCTTTGGCATTAATGGCAGGTCTACTCCTTTGTAAGGAACGAAATTTAATGGGTTTTGAGGCGGAGGTGGACTCTTTAGCGTTGGTGAGTTTGGTTTTTTCCAAGTGTCCATCACGTTGGCCTTTATGTAACACTGTCTGGCATACACGGGCATTAGTTGACGAGTTGGGAGCCTCGTTGGTTCATATCTTCCGAGAAGCGAACTTGGTGGCGAACGCTCTTGCTTCAGCAAGTCTGTGGTCGAAAATAATATTTTCGTCTGAAAGGGCTCTTCCGTCTAGGATTCGTTCTACCTTCAACTTGGACAAGCATTCAATTCCGTATGTTAGGCTTTGCCCCGTAAAGGAATAGTCCCCCTTCTTTGTTTTCGATATTCCTCACTAGCTCTTTGTAACTTACTCTTTTTGCAGACTCAATAATCAATAAAATTAGGGGTTGGCATCCCTGACCCGTATACGGGGTTTGCAAAAAAAAAAAAAAGTGATTGGTATTTTCAAATTTTAAGACGATCACAAGGCAAGTAATTTAACTGTTGGATTTTGGTGAGTAGAAATTTTAGATTTAAACTACAATTTGTCAGCATGATTATAGAATTCAAGTTAGAACCCATTAATTAGATGTCCTTATTGTACAACTCAATAAATGAATTTATTACCAAATGAGAAAAGACCACAAATATTGAATAGTTCATATAGTGAAATCAAATAGATATATACATGGATTTAAAAAATTATTCGTTTTAAACCCATGTATATATCTATTGAATAGCATGTGTAATAATTAGTCTGCTCAGGTGAAATCAAATAGACATTTATGCTATTCATATTGTTCAGGTGAAATTAAATAGATATATACATGGGTTTAAAAACAAAAAACTATTCGTACACATGGTCAATAAAAAAAATTCATTTTGTAAAATGTGAGGGACTATGAATCAGATGATATAAAGTTTGATTTGACAATTTTTTCTCTAAAAAATGATTACATGCAAGACAGTTGGTGAATTCCACCCAAAATTAATCAAAAAGTTAGATAGGGATCGAATTTGACGAATGTGAATTTGTAAGGAATGTAAAGTTACACTTTTAAAAGTGAGAACGAAAAAAGTTATTTTGTAAAATACGATGAACGTTTTGAATGATTTTCCCAAACCTACATAAACAACACAAAATTGCATATTAACCCACACTTTTGCATATTTTGATTAAGTAACACTACTTGTATGAAAAGTAAATTATAAAGGAATTCAAATTTTCCATTTTAACTTAAAACATACCAAAATTTAAACTAAAACCTAACTAAAAATAGGTAAAATATATGCTAATCATTAGTATAAAAATATCACTGCACTATCAATGCATAAAAAGTTAATTCCATATATAACTAGTGATTGACGCACATTCAATTTGTGTGCAAGTGATAAAAAAATTTCAGTTGAACTAATGTATTTAGATTCGTTATTTGACAACAAAATCTAGTAGTAGTAAATTAAAATAGTTAATAAAAATCAGAAAAAACGAAACAAAGCAATTAAATCAAGCAATCATGTGTTAGCAATTATGTTTAAATGATAAACACATATTTCATTAGTTGTGTGATGTTAGTTCATTAGTTATGTGATGATGGTTGATTTGAAATGAGTTAGTGGTAAGAAGTTATTTAAAAAATAAAAAAAAAAAGAAATTTTAAAAAGTGGCATTAGATAGTTTGCACCAAAATAATTGCTCCCACTTTATTATTATAGAAATATGATAACAATTTTTTTATTTGAGAAAAGTATAAAATTTAATTTTTTATTTCAAAATTTTAAATTAAAAGAATACCGTATGCGCACGCACGGCCCATGGACTCGCTCAATCAAACAAATCCGCACCTGAAAGAGAGAAAAACCATTCTCCCCACACTGCCTCAAAATTCTGACAGTAACTCCACCTGCTGTGTGTAAATTTCAGCCGTTTCTTAAAGCTTATGAAAAAATTCAGACAATCTTCTTCTGTTCATCACAGTTTTCGTCGCAATTATTCGCACTAGAATTTTGATAAAATTTCAGCAGAAGAATACGCACCGGAGCATGCCGACTTCAGCCGCAGCCTCGTCATCGTCGGAGAATCAGAGCCGTCCAGTTCCCGAGGACATCGTCGGACGGCTAAGCTCGTCTATGGCTTCATATGAGATTAAGCTTAAAGCCCTGAGAGACCTGAAGAATCAGATCATTGGCAACCGTACAAAGAAGCTTGCTTTTCTCAAGCTTGGTGCGGTTCCTTCCGTCGTCTCTATATTATCTTCCGCTACTGCCGCGGCCTCGTGCCGTGGTGGTTATGATGATAATTTGGATTCTATTATAATTCAGTCCGCTGCCGTAATTGGAAGCTTTGCGTGCGGATTTGATGCTGGAGTTCAGGCTGTTTTAGACGCTGGTGCTCTCCCCATTTTGTTGAGTTTAATTTCTCATCAGAATGAGAAGGTAACCTCTTATTCTTATGTCTTCATTTTCTAATTTCAGTTTCATTTCTTGTTATGTATTTTATTAAACGAAATTTCTTTAGAGATGCTCTGTTTAATCTCCCAAATTTTGAGCTTGTGTACACATTTAGGTTAGAATATGTTGAATTAAAAAAAATGCCCTTGTCAAGAATTTGAGGTATGCATTAAAGAATCGGGAATATATGTATTAGGAAATAATGGAATCAAATTTTTGATGAATGTAGACTAACTAAAGTTTTGAATGGAGTAAACAGCATTGAGGATGTTAATTACAAATTCTAATCATAACGAGGTAATGTAATCATTTCAAATATTTGTTGGTATCTTGGTTCGGTAGGCTATTGTCTATGATTTCCTCCACCCTTTCCCAGTGCATTTGGATTTGTTTGGGCAATTCAAACTTAAATGATTATGAAGGTACTTTAAGCTGTCTGGTTAAGTAAAATTCTGGATGGTAGCTCATGTTGTGATTTTGATTCTGTTTTTGCTTTGAGATATTTACCCTATATGTGTTTGCTCAACTTTGAATAGGAAGCAAAGAGCTGAGCTAAGAAGAAAGGAAAAGGTGAAAACTTAATTATGGAATTAAGTATGAGAGTATTGTCATATACTTTTCTGAAACTGATATTCTGTAATTCAGTGATGAATCTTTGGTGTGCTCATTAAGTGTCTCTTCGGTGGGTAGAAAATAGGAGGCATAGGGAATAGGGTTGAAAGAGAATCACAGCTGGTTTCTTAGCAAAGATGAAGAACAGGGGTTCTTGGGTTGGATATTTCATTGCATTTTTGCATTTACATAAGTGTAGGTATTGGGAAATTGAACCTAGTTGGAAGTTTAGGTGGTTTCTCTAATTTTTCTTGGATAGTATTTTCAGGAAAGGGAGGAGAATATGTTCCGTTATCTTACATTTACATCCCTCTTTCTTTGTTTTTAACTTCTTTGTAGCAGTGTGTCTCTGAGTTCTTTTCTTTCTTGTTTTGTTTTTGCATTTATAAAGCTGATAAAGTGTTGTGCAAGTTCATTTTTGTTCCACCTATAGTTGGCAAAATTCTTTGGAAAGGGTAAAATGCTTTGAACTAAAAGCCACAGCATCTTCAGTCTGTTGTGTGTTGAGCTGTGCAAGGACAGACTGAGCAGCAGGAGTTGTTCAAGTTAAATGATTACTACCAACACAATTTCCTCATGGAGTACTGCAGAACAGAAGTGCATCCATGATTGAGATGCCTAATTTGGATGAAGATTCCAGACATCCAACCTGGAAATTCAGCCTGGTTTTTATTGGGAATTGTCTCTTGTCATGTACTTAAGGTTGATCAACCGCAAAATTTAATGTGTGAATTGAATTCTCTGCAGAGTTCAAGTGTATTATGGTAACCATGACTGAGTTTTCCAGAAATGCATTACAAATGAAGTTTTCTATAGTTAAATACGAGAGAGAGAGAGAGATTCTGTGCATGGTGGATTCTGCTCATGGCATTGATTATATTACTACATTTGTTGAAGCCTGTAGGCAAATGCCACATTTTTTTTGGTTTCTTTAACAGCATTTAAGTAAATTTTCTGAAACCACTGTAAATTCTATTGAAATATGAGATGGACCAGAACCACTTGCCTATTGTAAGATGCTTGTTGGTCCATAATTTTTCAATCACTAAATTTAGCAACTCTATTATGATTTTCTTGACAAAGTTATGATGAGAGGACATAATCAAGTGGCTGTGTTAAGAAAATGCTATCTATGCAAATACAACAGAATGACTAAGTGATGAATGTGGTGTATGTAATAATCCTAATAGTTTTGCTATCTGTAGGCATAAAGATGCCCTATGCATGCATACCCATGCATGTGGTTTATCAGTCAGTGTACAAGGATTTTTTATCACATGTTAAATGACGTACTAGCTATTTATGCCGTCCTAGTTTTACACACATATACAAATATTATTAAGTTGTTGGATCTGCAGTGTATTACTTCACATCTTTAGGTTTAGCATGAAGTAGTACGACAACCTTGCCCGTTCTTTGCTCATTCAACCATTTGTGCTTCTTTGTGACAAAAGTGTCATATGAGTGAAATTGAGTACCATTAAAATTCCATCACAGAAAATGTATGAGTGCATAGATGTGGGCTTGCAAGAAAGTGGTACTTTGGTCTGGCCGATACCTGAACTCTTGAAAACTTATACAACTAAGCTATGCATAGGATATTTTCTTTATTGATTACATGTCATAAGATAAATGCGAATAAGTTGTGCGTTTAACTTTTCCTGTTTGCATGGGAATTTCTATTGGTTAACTTGCATAATTGGTAGTTTCCTGCAATTATTCTTCTCCTTAATTGTCTCTTTTTGTATTTCTTATATAATTTAGAACTAATGTAAATGTGACGCTTCTCTTATGGTATAAAGTCATTAAAAAGTTCAAAAGTGCATCACTTCCAAATGGTGAAGCATCCATTACGTCTTTGATAAGTATTCAGTAAAAGGCCACAACAAAACGTACTTTTGCGGACTTGGCATATAGGTGAGGACCAAGTGCTCCAATTTCTTATTGGTATAATTACTTTCATTAGTACATGTGTCAAGTTGCAAATACTTGCAATTTAGCTTAAAAGAAACATCCCAACCTCATGTAGACCACTACTCTCAGTGAGGTTCATTAAGGGCCAGTTATGGATAGTGAAGATCATTAAGCACTAGATATGTGGAGCATTGAATGTGATACTTCGCATTCAGTCCTTCTGGGTGCGATGCTTTGAATTTGATCTAATTATGTGTTTTTTAATTAGTTTTCAAAAGAATTCCTAGCCTACTGTAACTTAGTATTCCAAACAATTCATGTCATAGCAAATTTTGCATCGACTTTTGACCATTTTCAGTTGCCTGAAGATCATTTTCAGTTATGGATGGTGAAGATCATTAAGCACTAGATATGTGGAGCATTGAGCGTGATACTTTGCATTCAGTCCTTCTGGGTGTGATGCTTTGAATTTGATCTAATTATGTGTTTTTTAATTAGTTTTCAAAAGAATTCCTAGCCTACTGTAACTTAGTATTCCAAACAATTCATGTCATAGCAAATTTTGCATCGACTTTTGACCATTTTCAGTTGCCTGAAGGGCCACTTGTCTTAATGAAGTTCATAAGGGCCAGATAACAATTTGTGATGTTTCTGATTTAGTCCTGTTGGGTCCCCTGTTTTGAATTTGATGTAGTTGTGTTGCTTCCAAATAGATTTTTCAACTAAATTCTTAGCCGATCATAGCTTTTCATTCTCAAACAATTCATGTACCGGGAAATTCTCATTAACTTAATTCTTTTCATTTACTTCAATAATCTCAAGGGAGGCGTCTATTTATCTATTTTTGCACATTGTCTTTCTTCCACTTAGTTTTTCGTTGGCATGGGTCACTAACGTTAGAGATACATGGCATTGCTTCCTCTGGTCTTTATGTAACATCACTTTTGTCATACAGTAGACTTTTACCTCTTGTCTGTATTCATATTAGTTGAATATGAGTTTCTTGAATGTATTGCATGTTGAGATTCTTGTTTGTAATCTTAATAATGGTAATCTTGTCCCAATCTTTGTATGACTATAACTTCATGTACTTCACTTTTCAGGTAGTTGATGCTGGTGCTCGTTCATTAAAATTGATATATCAGTCAAAATTGGCTCCAAAATATGAATTTTTTAAAGATCAAAACTTGGAATTTCTCCTTTCACTATTGAATTGTAAGAATGAGAATGTTACTGGACTTGGTGCTTGTGTCATCACACATTCCTGCAGGACAAGTATTGAGCAGAGGGCATTGAATGATGCTGGAGTAGTAAGGAAGCTCATTAGTCTTCTTGGAGGCTCAGTAATTCAGAGGGATTCTAGTTTGGAATCTCTAGCAGCCATTCTGAAAGAAAATTCAGAAGTCATTTTGAAGTTTGTGGGGCCTGAAAATGGAAGAGCATTAAATGATGTTATTGAGCTAACAAAGGATAAGCATCCTCGAACAAGATTGCTTGCATGCATGTGCTTGGTTGTAATAAGAAACGCTTTGCCTTCTTATCTTCAAGATTTACAAATCAAGACCAAGTTGGTTTTAATTTTACTTGAGCTTCTCGATGATCCTGGTCAAGTTGGAGAGGAAGCCCCATTTATCTTGTCTAGTTTAATTGTGGGAAAGGAAGATATGCAGAGGTTAGCATTTCAAGAAAATGTTATTGATAAACTTTGCTGCCACTTGGAGAAAGGTTCTCTACAGGCCAAACGCCTGCAAGGAATATTTCTGGCATTGGCTGATTTGTGCTCCCGGTTGGAATCTTGTAGGACTAAGCTTCTATCTTTAAAGGTCAGTTGACAGTTTAGAGGTTCAACTTGGTTTGCCACTGCTTTTCATTCTACGCCAGTTTAATTTTCATTGTTGACTTATTTGCGTTTGAATTTGTTCTGATATTGAATTACTTCTTCATGCACAAAGGGATTATACTGTAATTTGCCAAATTATCATTTCAATAACCATGAGGAAAACTGAGAACTTGTGTAGTAGCTAGAATATTTGATCATTCTTCCATGCAGCAAAGAACAGGTGTCAGTTTTTATGCACTCTTCCTGTCAGTTTGTTATTTAATCTGCCTGCCTTTCTCTTTTATTGGTTAAATGTGCTTTAGTACCTTAATCAGTTCGCATATATCAAGGATTCCAGAAGAACAAACTGAAAATGCTGACTACTTTATGAAATGTGTATATGTGGAAAAAATGAACATAACTGTATTGTTTTGCACCTCATTTTTGTAAGAATTCGAATTGTAATTCTAGTATGAGATGCGTCTTTTAACATACAGGTCCTCAACCTCCAGCCACTCCATCCCGTCCTCTCTGCCACCTAACCCTCGCTAGCTGCTGCCAAATCCTTCTCCCGATCTCTGCCAGCCACCCTTCTCTTCCCCTTCCCTCTTCTTCCCACTTTCTTCCTGCAACCAGATATGGGGAGGGGGAAGGAGCAGGAGAAGGGTTGGTGGGAGGGAGGGGGGAAAGGAGGAGGAAGCTGCGACCAGATCTAATGCCATCTTGACTAATAGACAGCTACTAATGTCCAAATATTGTTCTGTTCTTGTGTTTTTAGTTGGCATGGTAACAGAAACTATCAGGTGATCGTTGGACTTGGGCATACTACTATTAGTTTCCTTGCTCTCTGGCAGTTTTTTTTTGGGGGCATTGGTGCGTGGCCACTCTAGATTGACATTTGTGGACAATTTCCTTGATTGAACTTGATGGGTATTGTTTTGTTTTTGTCGAAACCATCAAGTGGTGGAACATTAGACTAAAAGTTCGTTTAGATTCTTGTACAGTATCAATTTTGCCTGCCATCCTCTGTATTAGTTAGGTTCTTCCTGTTCTTGTGTGAAAATCTTGACATTTTAAATATTTTTGAGATTTAGCATTGCAAGTGCACTAAATCTCTGGAGAGAGGGGGGGTTTGTCCATTCATGGACCACTGTCATCGTAATCTTTACTTAACCTCCTGATTTGATTCAAAGGGATAATGGAGCATCATATGTCAGTAATAAGATAGCAGTTATTGTTTACAAGAACGGGAAAAGTGATGGTGAAAAAATCATGCAGGCAAAGTAACAGTTTGTAAATTGGCCTACTTCAAACCATTACTCAGACAACATAACTATATGCGAGATATTGGGAAAAGGGGGAAAAATGAAAAAGCAGAAAAAGAAGACCAGAACAAGAATGCTTAGGTAACTGGCTGAATAATGATGGATAGTGGTTTAAAGTTCTTCTAATCGCATGAACTTCTCTCAGTGGTGGTCAATGACCAATAACCTCTTAAGATCTATTTTTAGGGATCCTCCAAGTCTTAGGAGGTTTTTTACAAGTATACCCTCTTCTACATGGTTAATTGCATTTTTTGACGATTTTCATATTAAAAATGTATCACAAAAAGATTAAGTATATTATCTCTCGACGTAGAGTAGACATAACTGAACCTCTATGAGTAAGCTGACTAAAATAATTGTCATTTGAAGAGCTTTCACCAGTTTACGAAAAAAGAAAAAAATTTAATAGTGAAGCATAATGAATTTGCAAAGATTAATGGTATGCCTGTGCATAAGCCAAATGGTTTTGTATTGGACAGTAGTGTTATTTGGTAAATTAGTCATTCAGAATTGTAAGGTATAGTACTGCATTGATTATGACATGATTTTGTGTATTTACCTGCTTTGAATGGGTATTTTAAGAAATCTTCTGTAAATAAGTATTCAGGTTAATATTGCTAAATTTAAATCATGTTTTGGTATTCACGAAACTTCAGAGGCTGAGTCAGTCATCTAGTGATTGTCTGCCAATCCAGTGACTAAGCTGGAAATCCAGACGACATTTCCTGACCTGATTATGCATATGTACTTTATTGTTGGCTAACATTATGACGTTGGTCAAGGTTTACTTTGCCCTGTACTAGGATTCTTAGGATGCTTTTGGATTACCAATTTTGTGAAACCTTACAAAAAGAGGGCCAGCTAAATTTCTAACATAAGTGTTGGTTGACCAAGTTAACCAAATGTGTTTAACAAGTCCTTTAGGATTTGCTTGCAAAATCTTTTAGGACTTCATGTCTAAAAAACTATAAACATATTCAGGCCATGATTGGATTATGGTGGCTTATCAACAAGCACCCAAGTTTGATAGAGCCTTTTTCTCAAAAAAGGGAAAACAATGTGCCTAGTAAGTACTTAATTCCATTGCTTAGGAGCATCCTTGCATGATTTTTGACTTTCAATATCTATTCTTTATAAAGATTTAAGTTAAAATGTCAAACCTTTTTTTTTTTTAAACGATTTTGAAACCTAAAAGCTATTCCAAAAGCACAAATTTTGAGCTTGTGCTAAAAGTGATTTTGAGAACCAAAGTTGTACACCTAAAATCATGGAACCATTTTTGCCAAACCCTTTAAAAGGTGATTCTGTCATCTAGAATTTTTTATTGAGCAAAAGCACTGCACTTCCAAAAGGGGGCCATTATCCTTGAAATTACTGCCAAACAAATATGACATTTTAGACATTCACCTATATTGTTGATAAAGATCCAGTTTCACTTTCTTATAGATACCAGCTTCAGTGCAATTCATACACTCAATGAAGAAAGATGTGTATATGAATTAGTGGAAACGGGATAATCAATTCCAGACACAAATTCACTTTGGTTGCATTGGACTGAAGCCTTTAGATTTGGAGGTCTATTTCAAATTAAATGTGCTTTGAATTTTGAGATTTGAAATTCTCACTAAATAGATTACTTTGTTTGGAAATGATGAGAGTTGGCAGAAGTGAAAATAGCATGCTATAGTTGACTTTCAAATGGTTTATTAAAGCAACCAGACATATAACCCCAACAAGAAAAGAAAAGGAAAAAAAAGAAAGAGAACAAGTTGATTGTCTTCTCCAAACTTCCTAATTTGCCCCACTGTCGCAGAAAAGAGATAAACAGAAACTGTCTGCTTTCCATATTGCTGATAAAGACTTTGGCTGAGGATTATAAACCGAAATCACCCCAAATCCCTCAATCCAAAAGCCACGTACAGGATTTTGTGTATTATTGTTATTTGTCATCCAAATCAAGGAAAACGGCCACATGGGCCTAAAGTTTATACAGATCTATATGTCAACATTCCATTTGTGTTTCTAATAGTATGTTTTTGTATGTACCGGCCTTCTGTGAGTGTGCTGGAGTTGGGTCGGGCTTTTGAGCATAACATAGTGATGATTGATGTTTCTTACTTCCATCCACTCTTAATGGCCTTGCTTTTTTTTTTTTCCAAATTATTTCTTTCTTCCACTTAATTTTACAATTTTCAGCTTAATGTGGAAGCTGGAGAGGAATGTAGAAATGCTAAACAAGTTAGAGGAAGTACAATCATGCATTTAGTTTCACTTCTTATAGTCTTCGCTGCAAAATACATGTCCGTTGAGATCTGCCTGGACCTTTTACCTCATATGTGATGATTTCTGTTTAATCTTCAATTTTTGTTATTTCGTCACTGTTATTTACACTGTCCCTTACTCTTGTAAAATTTGAGCTGTAAGAGAGTTGATTTTGGCGTTCATGATGTCGAGTAATGTGGTTTCTTTGAAACACAGGCTTTGCAATTTATGGTTGATGCTATGTCACACGATAGTGCTGAAGTACGTGCTGCAGCTTGCATTTGTTTAAAGAATGTTTCTCGGTCTGTTGAGGTGCGTCAAATCAAAAGCATAGCACTCCTCATAGTTTTTTTATCTGGTAATTATTGCTGATAAATGGCATTCAGAATTTAAGTGCAGGTACTTTTATGAATGAAAGTGTCATTAATCCTGTAGTTCAACTTCTGTGTGACACCTCAACTTCAGTTCAGGTGTGTACTCTTTTTATTGATTTTCATATTCTCACTCATTTCTTTCTTTCTTTTTTTTTTTCTCACCTTTACGGGTGACATGAAAATTTTCCATCCTTCTCTTTTTGACTGGTTTATAGATATTTTAATATTAATGCAAAAATGAAAGAGTCGAGTGAAACTTGTTGTTCTATAAGTATCTATGTTGGTCACTAAATGGTTAAGGCTTAGTTAAATTGTTTCACCATTGAATAACTTGTTGAGTGCTAGAATTGATTAGTATTTTGCTTGGATCATGGTTGTTGCAGTTGATGTGTTCAAGGAAATATGCCTAGTGGGATAAATTGGGAGGAAATTAGAAATTCTTATGTCCTGGACTTAAAGATTTTATAACAGTAGAATTTGTAATAAAAATAAAATAAAGTGTAGGAAATCGTAACAAGAATTCCAATTATTGTTTATGTCATAGTACGTGTGAAAATATTTCCACTCCAGAGTGGGATAGAGACCATTTTGCAATGAAATGCTAACTAAATCAAAGCTGAAAGAAAGCAATCCTACCCAGAAAAGCTAACTTGTTTGCAACTACACCAACAGACAATGGTGGGAAGATGTTGCCAGTCAGCTTCAGTGGGTTGTGCTCATAGTCAATCCTTTTCTGTATAGCAGCTCCTTTCTTCAGCTTGTTGATTCTTGAGCTTTATAGCTCCAGCTCGAACTTTCTTGACCAAATAGGACTAGGCTACCATAATTAGTTGGAAACTGCCAATTTTATTGCTTTTAAATGTCTACTTCTGCTTATAAACCTATTTTTGGGACTTCTGCTTGAGATGCATACATGAATGGAGGGGTAGCACGAATTTTTAGATTCATCACAAATAGTATTCACTAACTTCCATTTTGCAATCAAGTTTTACACTAGATCATAAATGCCATTGAACTAATTTTCATTTGGCAATCAAGTTTTGACATGTTTGGCATCATATTTGTGTGATCAAACATTTGTGGTTTAATAAATTAGTGTCGTATTCAATGAGTCAAAATAAGTCACTGATTAATTCGTCTTGGACCCTTACAAAGAATTGAAGCCCATGCAATGCTTATGCATTTGAAAGACCCTACCGTGTCATATTTGAATGCATACCTGAAAAAAATCAATGGGAATTAATTTTCTTTTATCTTTCTATTATTTATGTCCTTCCTTATATGTACCCAAGATACTTGAGAAAATAGCTAATAATTTGTTCTGATGGCACCACTTAAAATTATGGGTGACACACCCAATAGTTGTGATTTTAATTCCTCATGTCCCTTATTGTTTTCTGTTTCGCATTATAAATGTGAAAGGTTCCTTTCTCCACTCCTTTATGGAACTTTAAATAATTTAGTGAAAGTTCTATTTTAACTTTCAGGTTGCCGCCCTTGGTGCTATCAGCAATGTAGTTGTTGATTTCATGGTGCAAAAAACAACATTCATCCAATTTGGGGGTGTAAAACAGCTTGTTGAGCTATCAAAGTCAATGGATTCAACCATCAGGATGAATGCCGTCTGTGCTTTGAGGAACTTGATGTTCCTTGTCAGTGACAGGTGTAAAGAAGCAATTCTCCTGGAACTAACTCAATCAACCTTAACAAGCCTAATATGCGGTACCTATCATTCAATTAATCTGTTGTTATGTTTCTTTTGTGATTACCTTACACGTTTACAGTGTTAAATTCATCTAAATTATTTATTGTGAACCCTGCAGATCCTGAGGCTTCCGTGCAAGAGCAAGCTCTTGCCCTTGTTCGCAACCTTGTTGATGGATCTACAGATGGCATTAGACATGTCTTTGCAGACAATTGTTCTCTATTGCGTGCTGTTGTTAGGCAAATCCAGAGTGCTTCAAAAGTTGAAGTTGTGATCCAGGTAAAATCTGTTTTTAAGTGAAGATGTGGTTATTTACTGTTTAGTGGTGTTTGTCAAAGGTAACTGCAAATGAATGGGGGAAAAAATAAAAAAGTTCCTGCATTTAGAATTCGAAATAATATCCATTTCCTTTACCAGTGAAGCTGGAATGTTCAGATTGCTGATTTCTACTTGTAATTTCCTGACTAGTAACCATTCTACGAGACATCTAATAGGATTTGATTACTAGGTTGCATGCCTCAAGGAAGGTGCTATGCTGTTTACTCTTTAAAGTTGGATTAGAAGAATTAGACAAATTAAAGTGTGTTTAACTTTCTAAATGGCTGAGACTTGTATAACTAAACTTATTGAGACACTAGCCAGTGGTTATGAGATGCTTCTGCAACAGAGTCAATAGATTGTTATTGCAGATGCTGTGAAGAAAGGTACAAAAGGAATCAGAAACGAAAACCAAAAAGAAACTGGCTATATCGGTGTTAAAGTCCTGCAATGTGAAAGGTAACAGAAGTCCTAAAGGGTGATTTGTTTTCCAGGAACCTTAGTAAGGAAACGGGGACACATTTCCTCCGCCATTATTACTTTAGTTGGTGCGCAAACTTAAGAACATGCGGCTCCGTTGTTTGCTGAGTCATCATGATAATTGACTATTAGTGGATATCTTAAGACCATTGTGTCTGAGGTTTTCTTAGATTCCATTACCAAAGCATCCCCTTCCAAATTTAGAATAAAATATTGAGAAGAAGCAAAAGTAGATTGAGTTTTGAAAAGAGTAGGCTAGCAGACTGGTAACAGGGATAAGATTGCTGAGTTTTCTTTTGCATATTAGAAGGGATTTGGGAAGTTGGGCAACAGACCTGAAATGGGAGGCTGGGTGTTTAAAAGAGGTGGTTGGGGAGGGTGGGATGTTTAATGGCTGATTTTATTACATTGGCCAAGCAGACGGGAGAAATAAAATTTAAAAATAAAAGACTGGTGATATCTTTTCCCATGTACTTTGTACACCACCTAAACACATGCAGGTATTGATTTCTTTAATTCCTGAATACATCATTCCTGGGATGAAATGATTATCCTTCAAATCCATTCCAGGCAAACAAAAAAAATCCAAGCTACATGTTGTATGGAATACTTGTTTGATGAACTTTTTACATATGTGGCATTTGAAAGTTGAAGAATTTCCATGCTCAAAATGTTGTGGAGAGTTACACTCAAAGATGTACCGTGCAAGTAAATTCGTCTACACTGGTGTCATGAGCTTCAGTTCAGAACCTTTTGGGGTTTAGTGCTGCTAAATTGTCCAATGGACCCTAGAAGTTAGGACTATACTGTGGTTCTTTTCCCTGAAAAAGGATAAAATGAGGACTAGTGCTAAACTCAAAATTGTTTAGAAACTTAACTTGACGAATGGGTATTAATTTTTCAAAATTATTCTTTTATGTCTTCCAATGTTTACTTGCCATCATTGGGTTTAGTATGATGGCATTAGGAACTGTTATAATCGTTTCCTTTTTCCTTTCTTTTAAAGAGGATTGATATTCAATATCATGGACCGTACCAGTAAAATTGCTGAGAAGGATCTGTTTTCCTTTTCCTTTCATTCTTGAGAAGTCAACTGAAGCATGCTGAAATCTTCTGAAGGATCTGTTTATTGCAAATTAGAAAATCTGACCCTCTTTTGTTTCCAGTATTATAAACACAAAGTGCATCTCTCTTGTGCGGACTGCGTTGCTCCGACTCTTCACTTTGCCCCCATGTCAGACTCTTTATTTAGCACTAGAATACCCAAGTCCAAGTAACATTATTTGTGGAATGGGCCTTCTGAATAGCTTTTGTTGCTTGAATTGAAATTCTGTTCTTTTCTCTATTTTGTCTGCATGCAATGCTTGTTTATAAGTTTATGGTATGTATAACAAACGCATGATAGAGTGCATCACCTGGACTGGATGACTAATAAGAAGAAAAGTAGAGGAAGATAATAAGATGTTAGTTGTAAATTGACAGACAAAGTGGAAGCTAGTTTCCTGAATTATTCTGAAACTACTCAGGTTGCTGCCATCAATTGCTACAGTTTTGGATGTGCTAAAGGAAGATTACTCGTAATCAGTAAGAGGATGTGTTTTACATGTCAAGGTTCTAAATTGAAGCCACAGCATGGGGCTTTTAATTTTCTCTCATCATTCCTTAGGAGAGTTGCCTCCAATACCAGTTCTGGTTCATGAAAGATACTTCTTTTGCAACCTATACATCCAATGACAAATTTTATCCGTACATAACTTGCTCATTTCTAGTTCACAGATTTCCCACCGTCATTTAAGGCTAAATGAGCTGTTGACATAGTCAGAAAATGCTATGCTGATTCACAAATTACCATTGAAATTCTTGTAGAGGTAATATTACGTGCTAGATGAAGTGACATGGTTATTGCTCTGACTCAGTAAACCACCCCCCCCAACAAAATAAAAAACCAAAAAAAGAAAAAAAAAGAAAAATCTTAAACGTAATTTACCTAACTTTTTGGGTAATTCAATGGTCTTACTGAAATTTCCAAGTCCTACATTGGCCACTTGTCATGGTAGTGGAGGGTACGTAGAGATTTTGTATCCCAAGGGGACAGAGTAGCTAGTTGTGCCAGAAACTAGCAACATTAACAGAATTAATCGTAGATGTTACCTCTATTATTACAGTTATCAGGGTATTGTTTGTAGAACAAGAAGCTTTTCACTCTGCTTGTTTGGCAGGACTTGCTACTGGATATGGTAGTTTGAATTTTCTATTACATTCTTCAGATTTTGCAAATGAATGGCAGCTTATACATCTGTCAAAGAGTTTGGCTAACTCGTTTGTAGGGAACACGCAAATACAAGTTTTCAAGGGCATTAAAGGAATTCTTCAAGGGCAGATGCATACTGCCAAGGTCAATTGGGTATCGTGAGTTCACCTAAAAAAAAAAAAAAGAAAGTAAGATGAGAATATATAGAAAATACTCATCTGCTGATTGAATTGGAAGGTTTCACTCAAGTAGTAACAGATTATGCATAATGATTACCTACGGTATTGTATGCTGATATTTATGTATGTTCACTCAACTAGCCTGTCTTCAACTGACTCAATGTGCATTGAATTGATAAAAAATACAAGAGTCAATGTCTACAACCAACCTCAGAACTGTGCAAAATTGGAAATAAAACGTATAGAGTTTAACTGCCTGTAGGTAAATAATTATATGCAGTGTAGAGTATAACCACCAGTAGGTAAATAATTATGGGTGTGTTCACATAGAAAAAGAAAGTAAGATAAGAATATATGGAAAATACTCATATGCTGATTGACTTGGGAGGTTTCACTCAAGGAGTAACAGATTATGCATAATTATTACCTACACTATTGTATGCTGATATTTATGCATGTTCAAAGGCTGGTATTACTCAACTAGGCTGTCTTCAACTGACTCAAGAGTGCATTGAATTGATTGAGAGTACAAGATTCATTGTCTACAACCAGCCTCTGAACTGTGCAAAATTGGAAATAAAATGTATAGAGTATAATTGCCTGTAGGTAAATAAATATATGCAGTGTAGAGATAACTGCCAGTAGGTAAATAATTATGGATGTGTTCACATAAACAAAGAAAGATAAGAATATAATAGAAAATGCTCATCTGCAGATTGAATTGGAAGGTTTCACTCAATGAGTAAGAGATTATTCATAATGATTACATACACTTATTGTATGCTGATATTTATGCATCTTCATAGGCTGGTATTACTCAACTAGGCTGTCTTCAACTGACTCAAAGTTCATTGAATTGATCGGAAGTACAAGAGTCAATGTCGACAACCAGCCTCAGGACTCTCTAAAATGGAAAATAAATTGTATAGAGTATAACTGCCTGTGGGTAAATAATTATATGCAGTGTACATTATAACTGCCAGTAGGTAAATAATTATGGGGCTGTTATTGAACTAATATTTGATGTAAATTTGACTACATTAGTAAATGTTTGTAAAATGATTTGCAAAGTATTTGCTAGTTTTGGGCAACTATTCTGATGAAATGGCATTTACTTGATGTTTGACCCCCCCCCCCTCTTCTCTTTATTTTCAATTTAGTTCATTATCTACTGATTGCCTCACTAAGTAAATTCCTTCTTGCTTTGAATTACTACACATGCTGAGATGTTGTTATGTAGGGTATGTATGTCCTAACTAATGTGGCATCTGGTGGTGAGCTCCATAAAGAAGCAGTGATGGATGAACTTTTCCCAACACTTCCAGGAGGCCCCCAATCAATTGTAATCAAGTTTTTGCAGAGTAATGAAAGCCAATTACGTACTGCTGCGGTTTGGACTTTAGTAAATCTTACTTTGCCCAATAGTTCTGGTGCATTTGGTCGGGCTGTGAAACTAAGGAGGGCTGGCATAATTTCCCAGTTGAAAAATATGATGAATGATCCTTGCTTAGATGTAAAGGTAAATTAGCAAATATCTCAATATGAATATTGTAATTGTTTTCACCAGATGGTATCTGTTGACTGTATCCATTCAATTCTCTCCTGATAGCTTCGAGCAAGGACAGCTTTTGGACAAATGATGACATTGGGTGATGGCTCACCTTGACTTTTTTTATCATACTTCAAGCTCAACAATGAACAAGAGGAGATTCTGACCTATAACTGGTCCTTGGGCTTCATCATTTGTTGTAAAGTACCATGTTTGCCTGTGCTACCAACTAGAAATGGTAATCCTTACTCGAGGTGTGTATTGATGCTAACATGGCTACTTAAGTTGGACACTGACTGCAGCCTCAAGAAGTAATCAGGTTCCGATCATCATGTTGACGAAGTGAGTACCATCTTTAATTCATAAAGATGCAGTTCTTCTGAAAAGTGTTAATTAGCCGAGATGTTTGTAATCTTGCTAGACCGTAAAAGTATATATGAGCTTGTTAGAAGCAGTATCTTGGAACTTCTATCTCTTGTTTGATAAGAATTCTTTGGTTGAATACATTTTCTGTCAGCTGTAGGATTTAGCCCCCTGTCTTGAAGATTTTATATTATTCCACGGTATGTGCTTGAACTGCTTCTCTACGTTAATTTTTCTCTTTGCAGGTGTAAATGATTGATATTGGTTTTCCCCACTCAAATGCATCGTGGGGAGCTTGCTTGATTTGTGACCACTGCGAGCAGGTCATACACAAATTTGATTCCCATGATGACACCGTTCATCTCATTTTTGAATTTAAATTGTTTGAGTACAAGATAGATGTTCTTGCATTGCTGCTGGGATTTCTTCTCCAGCATATAACTTGTGCAATGGCCACACCTCTCTTCAGGGTGTCGGAGGTGGAAAAGTGGTCTCATACTCATTGTAATTATCTGCCAAGTTGCAATGTGCATATAGGATGAATTTTATCATAAATGTCATAGGAAGTCAAATTTTTGAAGGTTGCTTTGGGGAGTCACAATTGGTACTGATCCCTTCTTTGGTTACTGGCATCATTTTCCATTTAAGTTGAGCTTTGTATCTTTTGACTTTGAACAGGATTTGGAGGAACGTCTGGCTTATGTTCAGTAATGCTCCTTTTCTTCCTGATCGGGATGTCTGTCTTTGTTTTTAGTAGTCTGCTTATAGTAATTAGTTAGTGTAAAGTCATTTCTTCTCTACTTTTCCTACACCAAATAAGGCAAACATGTTTAACCGTGTGTTCATGGGTTTTCGGTGAAAGGCTTGCCAAACTTAGTTGATTAATTTGATATTTGATGATGAGACTTGAATTTTAATCAGAATAATTGCATACAAGTTATCTATAAAGTTGGATGCAATTATTGCACAAGCCAGAAGGACAATAGGACAACATGCCCTTTGAAAACCAACATGCATGTCGGTTTTTTAAGAAGAATCAGCTTGGGTCTGTGAATGCCTAAGACGATAAACATTCATAAGATGAAGAACTGATTTGAGTAGATCCATTGTCAATACGGGTTTCTGATGGGTACCTGGCCTTGGGGTAGGGACTGGAGGGTTCGAACAGTGCTAACTTGCATGACTGATGGGAGCAGAAAGCATAGGACAGCTCATAAAATCACTTGAGATCCTCGGTGACGTGTTTTTCTATACCAATCCAAGGCCACCTATAGTATTGTGTCAAGTGTCTCGTTATTATTTACACTTTAATTTTCTAATAATTCAACTTGGTTTGGTTTAACACAAGTGTAAATAATAACAGGACACTTGGTACAATATTATAGGTGGCATTGGATTGGCATAGAAAACATATCACCGAGGATTCCAAGTGTCATAAAACTGCACAGTTGTGGATCAGAAATTCATCAGATGCTTTATCTGTAAAAAGACGTTGCTATGAATCCGCAACAGTGATAGAGGGAGAGAATAGATCAACTTAAGGGAGCCAGCAGCTTTGTGTGCCCTTCTGACTCTGTATCCGCCTCCTGTAGTTTTGCATGGTAATGGAAAAGTCTTATTCCTGCAAACTTGAAGGGCAGGAAGTAGGTTACCCCAAATAAAAAAAAGAAGCAAGGACTATTAAAGGTTTCCTCCTCTTTTCTGAAGTCCATGTATCCGTGCTTTGATGAGGAGAGATGTCTCGATGTTTTATAAAACAATTTACTAAAGATTATATGAGAGTATGTAGTTGCAGGTATTCCTCTTGATTTTTTGTTTTTTTTTTGGGGGGGAGGGGGGTATTTATTTGTCAAGATCTAATATTAGAAGAAATCTAGAACCTATAATCTTCACTTTCCTAGAGGTACTTAATACCTTGAGGATACACAAAGCGTTCAAAAACTCTCTTAGACGAGTATATAACAAGTCATAAGTTCAATAAACATTTTTTGTATGAATACAGCAGTATAAAACTTTAAATGTGTAAAAGAAGTCTAAAATTATCAAAAGATCCCTCCCTACCTCCCTCTAGTTTGTTGCTAGTTTGAGTTTACTTTTTACACGTCAATTATGTTCAAAAGTGGTGGCCCTTAATTTGAGTCATTCTATAATACATGACTATTACGTTGGTGATGTCAAACGATTGAATTCCAGGAACCGCAGAAATTCTAGTACATCATTCATGCATTTATGATTCGTGTGATAGTATTGATACTCCTGAATGATGTTTAATTTGCTCGTAGCTCTCGCTTGATTTTCGTTTTCCTTGTGATGGGCCCTATAGATCAAAGCACACGTTATAGTCATGTTACCTTTTAAGAGGTTTAAACTACCTTTGCATGCCATATGCATGCTCATCTATCAGTATGTTGAGATTCCGAAACTTAATTACCCTCACGCTTGTATCCAGCTAAAGGCTTTTTGTGACGCCCCACATCTCTCTAAGGCGGACCAAAGGGTATCCGCGGACGCCTGCCCAGCTCACGCCAGGACTCAAGCAATTCCATTCAATTTAAAATCGAACTAAACACTTCGATGAGATCAACACGAATACAGTAATGCGGAAGCGTTCAAGTTTAACAAGTCACTTAATGTATCACCAGTACATCGGGTAGTCATGAAACGACTTAAATTCAAAGTACACATCAGGGCCCAAACTTTTCAAGTTTACAATTTCCAAAAGTACAACCCAAACCAGGGCCTAGTTAAAATATATAACAGGAGTCTTAACAAAATTTCAACGAATGGTTCCTTCATATTTCTCCAAGATTCGGTCCTGTTAAGGAAAACAAAACTATAGGGTGAGCTAAACGCTCGTGAGGCCAAGAACACACATGCAAGCACTTAGCCAAATAACAATCCCAAGTTTAATAAATAAAATCACGTCTTTTCAACAATCAGTTATTCAAACAGGAAAAGTAATCAGAAACAATTCAAGGATATAGTAGCTCTCAGGAGCTAAATTCCACTCGCTCTGCCGATGACATTCGTATACCTTCCCGCATTAACCCTCCTGTCAACCGGGTCGGTATTTCCATTTCCGTAGATCACCACTTACTTCCCTCCGTCCACCGTACACCCCAAGGGCCCACAATGTCCATTATTGGGCGATACTCAACGAGTATGCCAAGCAAGACCTCTTATTAGGCCGAGCTTATATGTATCTCATGGCTCGCCCAAATCCCCGACCAAGCCCATTGCTGGCTCAAGTCTAAGGGCGGCCTATGAGTTTGGGCGTCCCCCATTCATTTGAAAGTCGAGGAGGTTCACTCCAGCGACACAAGCATTCATGACATAACATTGCATTTCATTCATTCATTCAATACATTTCATTCATTCATTCGAAATTAGAACGAGTACGATAAAGTACGCACCCGCCCTTATTTTTAAAACTTTCAACAAATACCACAATAAGCAAGTATCAAATTTCACACACTTGAAACTCACCGAGCAATTCAATAAGAATTATTTTCTGGGAGTTCAAGTGTCCACGGTGAGATCCTCTTGAAGGTCTCCTTGTGCGCCTGGCAATTAACAGTGGATAATCACACAATTAATCCACTTATCAAGAAGATTGTACACTAGTACAATCTAAGGATTATTTTGCAAAAAGGAACCTCAATTACACGTAAATCGAGGTTCAACTTGTCTTTTATTATGTACAATATTATTTGAGTTTATATCATGAAAATCGTGAGCAAAACATTTAAAAATATTAAAAGGATAAAGAGTTCTTGAGAAAACTCTATTTCTTTGAGATTGGAAAATTTTCAGTTTTACGATGAATCTTTGAAAAATCGTAACTCGCTCGGTATAAGTCGAGAATTGGAAAACTTTATACCGTTGGAAACCTTTTAGAAAGTACTATAAGTTCCTAGAAGACACTTTTCCATGAATCGAAGTGAAAAGTGGTCAAAAATGAGCTTGAAGACGCAGGGTTGGTTTCCATGGCAGAATTAAGTTGGATTTCGGCCAACTTTGGAAATTCGGCACGATTCACACGTTGCAAACCGGCCTCTGAAATTTGCAGCTCAATTAGTGTTGCAAGTGAGGTGTATAACAAAACAAGCGGATCAAGAATCGGAGTTTCGAGTACCGAGATACGGTAGCTCAAAGTTGAGCAAATTCAAGACTGGATGAGAATTTTCCAGATTTGAACCTCTAACTTTAGTAATTTAATTGGGTATCGAAACGAACTTGAATTGGCACCAAAATTGGCAGTATTTGAATACTATATGGAAAGTATCTCTCTATCGAATTTCGGGGAAAAATACCTTCGGCAAGGTAGTTAATTAGCCAACCAAAGTTCAAGAAAAATCCTAAGGCAATCTGCCTTTGACTTTCATTTTCCAAATTTCCAATCGTTTAACCAAGAAGGTTATCCAACCATGGTTCATTTGTGAAATAAGGGTCTAAGATACATCCATGATACCTTTGGTAAGTGTTTAATATCAAGAACATCAACTAACAAGTTCACTCCAAAATTTTGTTCCAAACCAGTCCAACATTAGGGTTTTTCCAAAACAGAGCAGTCCACTTGTTTCAGTCACAACTCAGTCAATTTAACTCGAAATCGAGCATGGCTTATACCGTTGGAAAATAGTTCATAGGGGTAAAATATCACAGAAGAAATCGTTTCCAAATTCGGCACCCAATCTGGTTCAAAATCGGGCATCAAGTTGCTGCCTGTACACTTCATTCCAGATGAACAGAGCAACAGGACAGCGAACTTAAAACATTTGGTTCGGCTTGCTCACAAAGAATCAGAACGTGAATTATATACCAAATTAAAGCCAGGAATGTCTAGTTTCCAACGCCACCAACGGCACATGATTTCGACATCTGAGGACAGAGTTATAGCCAAAATACTACTGCTGGTCAGAGACATACGCGAATCAGTTTTCCAGATTTGCTGGTTTCTCAAAAAAAATTCATTTGCTCAATCAAACCTCAATATTTTCCAATGAAATTTTCCACACCTCTAATACATCATATAGGCATCCAATTCAAGCCATTATTTCATTAAAAACTGGCCTTAAAATGGCCGAACATGTCAGGGGCAAAATCGGAAGTTTTTGCTTCTTACACCGAATGAAGTTTCTACTAATTACCCACCACTAATGCATCATTATAACCACTAAACCAACAATATAATCACCATCAATCATCACATCAGCAACAACAACCCAAGTGTGGGAATTTCAAGAGCCCACAATCACATTTTTACACCATACACAAGCTAACCAAATGCATGCATGAACTTAACAAGGTAAGATAGCTTCCAAACTTCAAGTTTTCAAGAGTGGATCATCACTTACTTTGGGTTGGTGTTCAAGCAGAAATTTCGGCCCTCTAATGCACCAGAAAAACCGTGATTTCCAGCCCTTGTTTGCAGCTCAAAATGATCCTCAAGTGTCAAGCTAGGTGTGGTGCAAGTTTGGTTAAATTTGGAGATGATTTGGGGTGGTTTTGAGTGAGATTAGTGAGCAGAAATTTTGTTGCAAATGAGTTAGAGAGAGGAGGGAGTTTGGTCGGCTGTGAGGAGAGAGAAAATGGAGGGAAATCTGACTTCCTTTAGCTTCCAAGAGAAGGTGAAATAAGTGGTGGTAATTCACCCAAAAGTCAACTCTCATTAGGGGCCGTTTGGTGCGATTACGGCTCGATTTTCTCGCGCGTTGGGTTCACTAGTGCACTAAACCTCCAAGGCATATATATTCATGTAAATATTATTCACTCTTAATTGTCCCGAAATAAGGGTCTAAAGTCCCTCAATTGAAGTCGCGCGAGTGAAAACGCGTACCGTCAAATTTAACGTTATAACG